AAGCTTGCCAAATATGCTTGTACTGCAGCATGGGTTGAGGATGCCCCTTCGGCATTTCAGCACCTGGTTGCCGCATGGCCCCGATCCCCTCACCTTCCCTGGCTTTGGACTGCCTTTGAGGCCTGGAGGCAGCCTAGCTTATGGCCTGGATTTTCGGGAACCGGTTTTGTTGACAAGGATAGGTTTGCCTCCGATTTCTGTCCCTCAGTTCGCCAATGTCGCGAATATTTTGGTCTTGCTGACCCGCAACCATATGCCTCGACACTCTCCACACTTGTTGGGGACTTTTGTGCCTTCACGCTCAACACTCAAACTCTAGCTGAGCCGCCAGCCCCAGAGGTTGATGTGCCGGCTTCAGACCATGGCTTTCCAGGCAAGGTTGCATTCTTGAGGGACCAGTTTGATTACTATGGTGCCACCATTGTGTCTCTTCAGGAAGCAAGGGCAGCTAAGGATGGCATGTTCGTTTCCCGCACACACATCCGACTTTGCACGGGCAAAGATAAGCAAGGCAACTTCGGGGTTGAATTGTGGCTGTCACGACGTCATCCGTTTGTATGGCTTGGATCAACCCCCGTGTGCTTTGAGCCCAGCCACCTGCTGGTGCTTCATTCGAGCCCCCGAGAGCTGTTCGTTCGATACAGCCGTGGGGGACTGAGGATTCTGATAATTGCGCTGCATGGCCCTGCTGCGACTTGCCCCCATCGGGAGAATTGGTGGCGGGCCCTCAAGGGACGAGTTGACCACTTATGCCATGGCAGCTCAGTTTTCGTGCTTGGTGATCTCAACATGCACTTTGCCGCACCCATCCCAGGGCATGTTGGGGATAAGGTTTTTCCCTCTAAGCACGAAGTCCCCGAAGCCTTTGTCAGTCTGCTGCAGCAGTACCAGCTTTGGATCCCCTCGACCTTCTCACAATGCCATCCGGGACCACATGCAACCTGGTTTCCTCCTGGTGGAGGCCCGGGGTCTAGGCTTGACTACATCCTTGTCCCTCGAGACTGGCAGGTTGCGGAGAATGCTTCCCAGGTCTTCACAGCCCTGGAATGGGGGCAGGCCAGGGTCGAGTAGCCCTTCGTACCTTTGTGGCATTTAGCTGCACCGGTTCCGCACAAGCCCGTGTTCATAAACCGACCTATGACCGGGAGGCCATGCTCACAGAATCGGGACGAGAGAAACTTGCTGAAATTTTTGCGTCAGTCCCGACACAGGGATGGCAGGTGAGCGTTCATGAACACTACTCTGCCGTCCAGCAGTACTTGGTTGATGCTCTTGGCCATGCCTTCCCCACAGCCAAACGCAATTGTCGCACGTCGCACTTCCTTCACGTGGCAACTGCGACAGCGGAGAGTCTGGCTTCGACGCCAGATCATTCGCCTCAGCGGCACAGGACATGGAGTAGCGCAAAAATGCGCACTTTTGTGTCTCCGACAAAAACTGCGCTTTCGGGTTGCCTGCTGGGTTTATGTGCTTAGGTTTGGTAGGCGGTTATGTGCTTTGGCCTCTTTTGTTGGTGACCTGCGGGACACCAAAAGCGACCTGCGACAGGCCATCAAGCACGACGTTGCGACGCGTATCGGTGACGCAGCCCTAAGCGCACACACTACGAGCACCAGCAATGTGGTGCCCCGTCTTCAAAGCCTCTTGGGCCCGGGTCCAGGATTGCCCTCAGACGCAGGGACACCGGCCCCTTGAGGATTTGTGCCTTTGTGCCTCTGACCTTCCCACCAGGTCAGACCTTGAACAGGCCTTTCGGGACACAATGTTGCACAGGGCCTTCGGCACGGACGGCATACCAGCTGAAGCACTCCACGCTGCACCAGGTGCAGCTGCTGGAGCTTTGTTTCCAGTAATCTTGAAGTGTGCGATGCGCATTGCCGAACCCCTACACTTTAAAGGTGGGTCGCTCTACGCAGTTTGGAAAGGTAAGGCCTCACCAGGCCTTTGCTCATCCTACAGAGGAATTCTGGTGTCCTCAACTGTTGGTAAAGCATACCACCGCATTGTCAGAGCCAAAAGCGTCCCGGCACTACGCCAAGCGGCCACACCGCTCCAAATCGGAGGCCTTCCCAAGTGCCCTGTGACCATGGCTGCACAGGTGGTCAGATTACACCATTCCTGGTGCAAAGGGAGGGGGACTTCGCAGGCCGTTTTATTCCTCGACCTTCGTGAAGCCTTTTACCGCATCGTTCGTCCTCTTGTGACGGGCTTTTCGGGCACAGATGAGGACATCTTGTGAGCTCGGTCAACCTGCCCCCGGTGGTCATGCATGACCTGCGTGCTCATCTTGAGGAACACTCCCTATTGGCGCAGTCTGGTGCCACAGAATGGGTCGACGCCGCGGCTTCGGAAGCATTGCACAATACTTGGTTTCGGTTTGAACATGGACAGACTGTGACGGAAACCAGCGTGGGCACACGCCCAGGGGACAACTTAGCCGACTTAGATTTTAGCTTTGTCTTTGCCCGGGTCTTGAGACAGGTAAGGCAGGCTGGTGAGGTTGCTGACAGTGTCACCACTTTGCCGTGGCATCCTGACATGTTGTCCAATGTGCAGCGGTGTGGTCAAGCGCCCACTGATACTCTTCGGGTCCTAGATTGCACTTGGATGGATGACTCGGCCTTTGTGTTGTGTCACCATGATGCTGGCTCCCTGGTCACTAACCTGCAGCACATTTCGGGTGCTCTTTTAGACAGCTGCCTGGGTCGGGCTCTCTTACCCAACCTTGACAGGGGTAAAACCGAGGCCATCCTCTCGTTACAGGGCAAAAACTCCAGAAAGTTGCGTGCTGATCTGTTCGGGCAGGACCCACCGACCCTTGAGGCCCCCAGTACACTTTGGCCGGGAGCAAAAATTCGCCTGGTCACACAGTACAAGCATCTTGGGGGGGTCCTGCATTACACCGGCTCCCTTCTGAGGGAGGTGCGATGTCGTATCGCTTTGGCCTGGGGTGCATTTAACAAACGGCGCAAGCGTGTTTTCGCTTCTCCGGTTGTCGCCCGCCGTGAAAAGATGATATTGTTTGAGTCTCTTGTACTCTCGGTTCTCCTTTACGGAGCAGGAGGCTGGCCTGATGTGGGCCCCGCAGAAATTGGCTCTCTTTCGACGGCATACCACCACATGGCGGCCACCATGCTTAGACCACAGTTTTCTCTTGAAGCAGCTAAGCATTTGGGGTCGGCTCAAGTCTTGTCGCTCGCCGAGCTCCCGTCCATCCCAGTCCTGTTGCACCTGGCTCGGCTGCGACATCTGCAATCATGTGTTGTCGTCAACGTGCCAGAATTTTGGGCCCTGGCACATGCAGAAAGAGGTTGGCTTTCACTTGCTCGAACCTCTCTGAGCTGGTTGTTTGATATGACTGGCTCCGGCTCCGGGGTCTCCTCTTGGGAGGCCATGTGGCAGCATTGGAGCGAAACCATGAGGGTACGACCAGGAGCCTGGAAGCGGTTGCTGCGCAAAGCCCAGTCTCGAGCCATTAGGGGGGAGCGTTGGAGCGCAGCCCTGCTATACCATCGGGGTCTTCTCTCTCGCCAGCTCCAGTTTGCCGGAGGAATCCTCATCTGTGACCTTCCTCCCGAGTGGGATCGAGTACAGTGTTGTGCTCCCTGCGGTAAGATTTTCAACAACAAGCAGAAGTGGTCTGTTCACGCTTTCAAGTGTCATGGCCGCACAACTGCCGGACGAGGAGTGCTCAAGGGGCACCAATGTCAGTTCTGCCTGCGCCATTTTGGCACCAACCTCAAGCTTTGTAAGCATCTCGCTTACAGTGCTGCATGTCGACATGGTTTGTGTGCAGCCGGATTTAGGTGCCCGATCGAACCGGGCCAAGGAAGCAGGAAAGCCGAGGATGCAGGGGGTACACAGGCTCCGGTCATGGCCTGAGCTAGAGCCCCACAACCTCCCATGGCTTGATGCCGAAGACAGGCCGGTTGCTGAGATCTTAGATTGCCTTTCATACATTGGGGCCACCACTGAGTGTGGTAGTCATGAGGATCACTGGGCACAAATTAAGACTGCTTTTTCTTGCGTTTGTGCTGAGACTGGGCGTTTGCGTATCACCGCGGAGGTGTTCCTTTCCCGCCTTGAGGACTCCGATCGCATTTCGGCACTCACACGTGACTTGCTACGCTCAGCAATGGAGTGGATCCTGCAGGCTGATATTGTTGCCTGGCTTGTGCCAAGCCCAGATGTCGAGGAAAGGGCACACAACACCTTCCAGGAAGGTGACCTGGTCCTCCACATGATGGAGGTTGCTCACCTGACTTTTCCTACTCCGGTATCGCGTGATTCTTCATGCATACACTGCCTTGTTGGCCCCACTGAGTGGTGTCACTCGATGGAGGAGTCTTTCCCCAACTCCATCACCTACACCATTGATGAATGTGTTGAGACTATTGGTTCTGGCGCTTCCCCCACGTTCTTCGAGGGCCCATTCGAGGATGTGGTGTTCCACATTTGCCTTAACACATGGAGTGGCTTCCGTTCGCCACCACCTGTTGAAGCATCCAGATTGTCGTTCCAAGCCTGCCTGACCAGGGAGGTTTTCAATGGTCTCGCCCTTCGCTTTTGGGGGCTCGGAGTTCCAACTTCGCTGCATTTTCGTCCCGATGTCGAGCCGACCCTTGCCCCACTTCCTGAGATTTCCCAGTTGGGGAAAACTAGGGACGGGGACAACTGCTCACTTCGCAATGCTTGGACCTTCTGGTAGCTTCTTCTGCTTGTTTCACCTTTTCTTAATTAGGTGCCCGATGGGCTGCGACCGACCCGGATCCAGCGCCCGAAAGACGTGAAAGACGTGAAAGACGTGGTTCCATCTGGCTTTATGTCACATGACTTGGAGGTATTGAGGGAAGAAAACGATTTCATCCGGCCGTCGACAAACACCTGCACAATCTCTGTAAGAAGGATAAGAGATGATAAGAGGGCAAGCTGTGCCTCAAGCCGCCTCAACCCTGCCCCAGGCTCAGCAAAAACTCCCCTCTCTGTGCTCAGGTTCAGTCTGCGCGCGGCGGGGCGCGAGACGCGGGAGTTCCCTCCAGTCCTCGGCACAGACATCGCGCAGCAAACCTCAATCCTCATCCCAAACGGCCTCCAATGTGAGGAAAACTAAAGGGGACGGCTGCTGCCTACATTGGACGAAGAGGAAGGCGTAGTCCACATCACTTCTGCACAACATCGTTGGAGAGCTCCGAGACAAAACAGCGGGTACAGACCCTAGTTAAACTCACAGGCTCTGCACACACGTCCGTCTGACTGCATGTCTGTTCTTTTCCGCTTTGGCGTTCCTTGTGGATGTAGCAGCTTGCCGCTAGTCGCACAGCTTAGTGTCGAGCTTTTGCTTCATGCTTCTGCCCGAGATTCCGGAAACTGGAGACCAAACGTTCTAAACCCTAAGCTGCTTAATCTGCTATGCTTTCGTACTACATAACATGGAGGAACCTGATGCAAACACAACTCAAACAGCATGAGTTTTGCAACGAACATGATTCGTGGCCAACGTCTGGAAAATGGTCTGGCCTTGCAAGAAGAACCCTCTTCTGTTGAACTATCGGATTGGATCTTGCTCCTGCTCCGTCAAGTTCGTGTGCTCCATCTCTTATCCCTCGCCGTCCAAGCTGTCATAATCCGCCGATACATTGCTTAACGACCCGTCTTGAAATATCGCCCTTAAGCTATGGTGGCTATCGCAGTCTCGACACACAGACACACACACACACACACAAACCCGTATCTTTCTGCCCCACCTCAGATAAAACAATGCTGAGCTCCCCGCGTGGCGCTTCCAGAGGCACGAGTGCTGCTGACGGAGGTGTCTTGCGAGTCGAGGGTGTACCTCCCGAGAGACATGCGCATGCGGAGGCTGCATGCTTGTGCAAGTGGGCTCCCAGCTCTGCTCGAAAAGCAAGGGGCACTCCGTGAAATCATCCACAGACCACTGATTGCTGTCTTCGTCTTCGGATAAAGAGTCCCAGAAGAGTGCCTCCAGAACGAAGGTGCTTTTTTAAGCCCATGAAACATTAGCCGCCCCAAGCATACAGAAACCCAAGACATTCCGTTCCTCATGCCCACTCAGAGCCGGACGGACGCGGCCCCAATGCTGGATCCAATGTCGTCAGCCGACTCGAAGTGTTCAAACACCACTGGACCTCTCAAGCGACTCTCAGGCCGACTCCTAGCTGTCCTAGCTCACAAGAAAGTCGCGGAACAAAATCCCACGCCCCACACGCACCTGGCAGCGCCAAAGGTTGGTAAAGCCGGAGGTGGCGTGGAAGCCGGTGCCTGGGCAGACTTCTGCTGGGAGGACCTCCGGGCATGAGAACAATCAAATGCCCATCCATGGCCCTTCTATGCCTTGGCATTCAAACGTTTGCCGTCTCGGTCTATGCCATGCCTATGCAAAATGAGTAAGCGGATGCAGGCAGAACTCAGCCAAAACCGAGCATCCAACGATCCTCGCAACTCTGCTACATCTTCAGGAACTTCAGTGGCAGACTCCACCTCCGGCTGTCGAAAGGCACAGGCATGCACGGGGTTTAGCCTTGTGGGTTTGGGGTTTCAAGCCCATGCCACATCGCTGACGTTGGCTGCACGAAGAATGTTAACCCTCGCAAAATGCTTCCCAACCCTGTCCTGAAGGCGTCCCCACAACCACATACTCTGCAAGTCAGATCAGTCAGCCCATGCAACGACGCAACGAGCAAAAACCATATTTTTACCCAACGTCCAACACAACACATGTTACATGCAGTGGACATTGGTGCAGCACCTCCCGGGCCATGCAGCTCCGCAGCGACGAACTGCTACGGAGGGGCCAATCACTTATGAGCCAACGAGCTGACCACTATCCGCGCTTCCTGCAATACAGCACATACAGCTATTTGCCAGCTCGCCACATTGAAACACGAAGCATCGAGTTGCACACGTTGAACAAAAAATTACATAGTTTTTGGGCTTCTGAGCCGCTAGGGTTCAGGTTGTTCAAACCTTCTCTGCACAAGTGCGCGATGCGTGCACGTTGGAGGAACTCTCTTTAAACTAGTCTGTTGACGTTTGGCAACCGCCAGCTGTGGTGGGTACTACAAACTTTCGGCTCGTCGTCATCCACCAACCGTTCTCACCAAACCAATCACTGCAAGAATCCGGCTTATTTCAAATTGTCGTTTTTTTGGCAAGCGGCCCGTCTGCACTGACCGATCAGGAGCGTTTTTGGGGTTTGCGGTTCTGCAAACTTAGTTTTTTTAGCGACTGTCTACAGCTCACAGCAAAGCAGTGCGGACGCTCACGCTTTTTCCGTCAGGGTATGCTCGGAATCGAAGTCTTGCTGTCTTCAGGATGCAAGGCTTTGCTGCCCCCGCAAGTGAAACGCATATGCGATGCTGTTCTTTAGAACCGTATTTGCGGGTATGGTTGTTGACACCTGCAGTCTGCAGTATTCAGGGTGTCAAGGGTGGGTGCTTGGAAAACCATGTTCGCGACAAGCTGGGCCAATCGCTAAGGCAGCTAAACTAAGCAACAAAACACACGTAAAAAAGGAACACACGTAGCGCTTGGCTTGTGTGCCACAGAAAGCAAAGTATTCTGTAGCTGAAATTCGACGTAAAACGGAGGCTCTCCATGCAAATCATGGAGTGCGAGGAATGGTCCTGTCTGATCTGAGCAGCAGTAGGACTGGATAAAAATTCATGCTCGATATGTGAGTGCGGGGGCGGCGCGTCGGACTGGAGACTATCCAATCTTTTGGAGGGATACGTAAAACTTACCTGTCTCACGGTCTAAACCCAGCTCTCATGTTCCGGTTGAACAATCCGACACTTTGCGACTTCTGCGTCTCAATGATAGGAAGAGCTGACATCGAAGGANNAAAATTGGTGAGGGGGACGCCCTCACTCAGCGTCAGAAGCACATGCCGTCAGATCCGCACCGCGGTTTCGACCCCAAGCCTGAAGCACGTCAACGAAGTACCTAACTTTGAAGTGCGCGCACCTGAGCCGAGCTGCAGCCAGCACGGTCCTCAAGCACAATCCCACATTGTCTTAAACAAGTTGGCAGGCTTTGTGGAACCTCCTCAGCAGAGAAGCGCGAGTCATGTTCGGCTCTTGCGGCCCAGTCAAGTCGGAGCAGCCGCAAACGAGCCTCATTCGCCGAGCAGTCCCACAGCAAGTGCAACAGGTGCTCGTCTTCCAATCCGCAGCGACAACCAACTTGGCTTTTCAGAGGCGAAAGCGGCTGCACAAGGCGTCAGCGAGGAACCTGGCATATCTAGCGACGCGCAGGCTGCCATCGCATCCAAAGAAGTCTTGCCGGTCTGAAGCGCAGTCGGACGAAGCCAACTCAGAAAAGCGTCTTGAGAGCCCCATGCAAAAATGCCTGCAAAACCCAAGAACTTGTCCGTTGCTGCAAAATGCGCTACAGTCGCTGCACCAAAGCATGCTGCCACTGTACAAGACGGTCAAACTTTCTAGGCACCGTGTCGCTGTATCAGACAAGCAAGCCTGTGGAGAAAAGTCTCCAATTTGGCACCAATTGCCCAATACACTCGAACCGAAAAGAAGAATCAAGCCCATTGACAAAGCTAGGACTGGTTTCACACCGAGAACAGCTCTGGCTGGAAAACCACAAAACCGGAGAGAAGACATGGTGGACCCACAACTTCAAGTACAAACACCAGAAAGGAAATGGCAAAGAAGAAGAAATGCCAAAACAATGGAAAAAGCCAAAGCACCCGTTCAAGTGCGTGAGCAGGAACGAATGCGAGCTGACACGAGTGCATGCATGCGCAGTGGGAGTGGAACAGTTTGTCAAGAGTGAAAGAAGCAAACCGAGGACGATGAGAAGGGAAGTTTTGGAAAAGACTCGGGCAAACATTGCCTCAAAAACAGTCTGCTTTCGCTTCGTTTCCTCTGCTTTTGTTTTTTTTTCTGCTGCTGCGCCAACCTGATCTTATCTGTTCCATCTTGCTTTTGGCCGCGGCACGTCTTTTTTTCGACCTCAGTAAAGAAAAAGCACAACATCTTTTCAACCTCTATGCATCATTTTGGGCAGTCTTTCTCGGCCACGAAATATCTTGTGGCACGGTTTTTCGAACCCCGAGACATCTTTTTCTGGACCTCCGGTTTTTCTGCGGAAGCACACACGAGGCGAGATGAGAAGCAAATCGCAAATCAG